TTTCCTTTCCCTTTTTACAAACGAAGTTAGAATTCTCAAACTAAGAGATTCAATGAAAACTACATCATAATTCATGTTTTCGATATTTTCAAATACAATGTTTGGTAGCATATTTAATAATTATCTAATATATAATGTATTTGTAAGGTAACGTAGTTGCCAACTAAATATTTAGTTTGATCTAATATATTATTAATTAATTTATTAATATATATGTTATAAATTTGGTGTAATTATTATTTTACAATATTATATAATTTGTAATATATTATTTTACATGTTTTAATTTTAACAAAAATTAAATGAATTTATAACATTGAAATACTATATTTATCAAAAATTTTATTTTTTAAAGTAATTCTACATTTTAAAATTTTAAATTTTAAATTTAAAATTCGTAAATTATTTTCAGAATTTTTACTATTGGATCACAAAATCTAAAATACAGTTTTCGAAAACATCTGCCAAACATACATTTGATTCACTAACTTTAAGAAAAAAAAAAGAATTCGAAATTCAATACCAAATAGACCCTTAATGTCGTGGTACTGTACAAATTACCTTATTCACGACTATTGCGTTGAGGTTTTTTTTCTTCTTCTTCTGTAAAAACGAAAATGACATGAAGTAAATGTCGATTATCTTATCGTATATTTTTCTATAAAAAGTGACGTAGTTTCAAAGCTATTGTTAAACTTTTGGATGTTTTTATCCATGTCATTAGTTTGTTGAACCATGATATTAAATATTTGTATGTACAATAATGACATATCCATGTATCAATAGATTCGACATTTACCTGAGGAGTAAATCAACATTTTCATAATATTACAAAAAAGTCGACAAAATATAAAAAATATCAACAAATTCTGATTAATATAGACATAATATTAATTTTAATCCTTTTTAAATTATCTAAAAATGATGAAGTGATTATTTGTTAATGTAAATATATATTTTTTATTTTGATAATTTTTCCATAAATGTCCATCGACATTGACATTTTACGGATATTTCCATCAACGCCTCCTTGAAATTGAGACCTTGACATTTTAATCGACACCGACATTCGTGTTCAACAAACAATTTCACATTAAGATTGTATTTTCAACAAATGATTTTACTTGTCTCTCTATTAAAATCATGAAATTCGACATTTCAATTTTTTATTGTATTTCTAGAAAGGACATCGATATTTTATCAATATATTCATCAATATTTCTACAAAATTGAGACTTCGACGTTTAAAATCAATCTTGATTTTATCACAGATATTTTTGGATAAAATTTTCAACGACAAATAAGGACTTAGTGGCAACATTTATAAAAATAAAAAAATTAGAATCGTTACAAAGCTAAAACAATGTTAAATAAAATTCAAAATAGAGGACAAACGATGATAAATAGTATTCTTTTATTTCATTAAGTTTCAATCAATTTCGATGACTTAAAATTATTTCATTAATGCCCCTCCATTTCATTGACTTTCAGATCAAAATTGTATTTCATGGGCCAATTTCAAATTACCAATAAAATTATCTTTATCAATCCAATAAATATCAACCAACACCACATTGTTTTTTGCCCAACTTAACATTTTCCAAACTTCAAATCTTTAACTTAAATTTATATTTAGATGGTAATAATAAAAAAGATCATATAATATTTTCTTACTTCGCTCTTTTTTCAGTTATCTTTTTTCTTTCGGCTTGCAAAAATAAAATAAGCATTTGAAGTAAAGTTAAGACTTTTAACCAAGGTTCATAAATATTAATACGGTATTTTATTAATATATTTGGATACATGAATATGTCACTTAAATTTTACTTGACACATAAATTCCAATCCGCTCATAAATAAGAGAGGAGTAACAAAAATAAAAATGTGTATTTTTAAAACATAATAGCAAGTTTAAAATTTTACACAAACAACAATTTGATCTAAACTATAATACACACAAACACATGTCACGAGAGAAAAAGAGGAGTAAAGCTTGTGAATTTTTTGAAAAAAAGAATAAATGTTTTTCAAAATACATAGAATATTTATGATATTTAATATAATTTTTTCCAAATGTCTTCGAGGGATAACTTGAGTGGCTTAGGACTTCAAGAAATATTTTTGAGATCTTGAATTCAAGCTACAAGGAACACAACTTGTGTACTCCCTAGGTAATAAAAAGAGTATATAATTTAAAGATTTATTGTTAAAATATTTGAAAAGATTTAAAACAAATTCTATACCCAAGGAAGGCACTTTAATATAAAAATCATGGTTACATTGAGAAGATGTTGGATGTACTCCCTTATTGAAATTAAGGCAGAAAAAATAAAATTAAAAAACCAAAATCATGTTGTTTTAAAATTATAAACGACTAAAAACCATTTAGGGTAGGCTCGAGAAGAAAAGAAGGCATACGAAGTAGGGGTACTGTCGGTATTTGACATTAAAGACTAGGGTTGAAATAAAGAAAGAAGCATCCATATTCCATTTAAAAATAATAATAAAATTAGAAAAAAAGAAAGAAAAAAGATGGCATGCGGAGGATGGAAGCGCATTGTTGTAGGATGATGATCTCTAGCCTTGTTCTTCTCCCGACATACATGTCCCAAACACCAAATTTCAGCGTTCCATTATTTCTCCCCAATTTTCCTTTTTAATTTCTCTCTAATTTCGATTTCGATATGGAAGCGCAGAAGCCGCCCAGCTTGGGCCTTCTATTCAGGCCTTCCTGTTCTTCTCTTCTCCTCTTCTTCATTCTTCTCGCTCTTCTCTCCTTCCAAATCGC